GTCCATTTTATCATCATTATCTTATTTTCTTGTTATATGTTTTTAGCAAAGTATGTTTGATGCTTTAGTCTTATGACTTGAATCTGCTTCACATTCGTTAAAATTCTATTATTGAAATTCATCAAGGGGATATAGCTCAGTGGTAGAGCATTCGACTGCAGATCGAGAGGTCCCTGGTTCAATCCCGGGTGTCCCCTAACTTTTTTTCCATTTTTTTCAAATACTACTAGAATTAACTATAGTTGATATCTGTATATGTGTAGGATATGGATGTAAATATTCTATTTATCATTTACATCTACATTTTTAATACCAATCCGACTTCTATGAGATGTGAACTAGCTTCTTTTTCACTGGACATGATTAACGATCTTTTTTGGATAAACTGTTAGATGTGTTGAAACATCGAGGAAAGGAGGGAATAGAACTTAGAAAAAGAAGCACATTATTTTTGTTTTAAACGTTGCTTTGATATAACGAATGCAGTAACAAACTTAAGTAGAACAAAGAACTTATTAGCATTTTTCAATGGTTTATATGTAATTTCATGCTGAAGATCGACAATAAAATAGTAACATGTGAGAGATACTCATAGTGGCGAAGCACACATGTAGAACTTAAGTAACTAAGTTAAAGGTGTGAGGAAGTAATCGGAAGAAGATTTCTTCAGGATGAAGACGACGCGATACACGGAAAACAAAGCCAGAATTTTAATAGTCGAGTGCTTGAGTTACAAAAAGTTAAAACTCGTAACGAATTTAATACCACTGTTGAAGATGTTTAAGAAAACAAAAATTTTTCTTAAGTAATTAATAGTCAATAAGTTAAGAGATCGCAAAAAAGAAAGAATGCCTCCACGCAGGATCGAACTACGGACCTCCAGTTTACAAGACTGGCGCTCTACCACTGAGCTATAGAGGCATGTCGACCGTGACTTTTTTCTATAATACAAATCTAATTGAAATCTATTAGTAACTCAAATTTAATACTTCAAAGTAAATTTTATTTAGAATTTTTATATGTTAAAGTAATTACTTTTTATTTAAGATATATCAAGAAAAGAAATAAGATTTATTTTTCAATGGAAAACAAAATCTCATTTTTAAGATAATTCATTAAATTGTTTTTTTGTGAAATAACAAGTAATTTCTATCAATATAATATATACAAAAGACATCTTGAATAACTTATATAACTAAAATTAGCGTGATTATTTTTCTAGAGGCATTAAAAAATACTGTAAAATTAAAATTCTATTCATTGTTCAATGTTAACTGTCTTCATTTAAATATTTTAAGCAAAGGTGGCACGAGAAACCTTAACTCTATGGAAACCCCAATGCCGAGGTTCGGATTGAACAGTACGAGTAAATCCATATTCATCTGCATTGTTATACAACCATTGATAGACGTTGCTTCCATTACAATCATGTTTAGATCCTGTTTGCTTACCATAATTAGCATTTAAGTCAAGGGCAATATCATTACCCTGATTTGAAGTAGCAGCTTTAGCAGTTAAATTACTATTGTTATGTGATTGTGTTTGATAACAATGTCAGAAATATTGTTGACGAACAAGTGTACGAAAGCTAGATGAAATAATAATTATTACACCATCCTGTTTAGCAGCTGAAGCCATCTTATCAAATAAATAATCTTCGGCACTTCGTCAATACAGTGTAACATAATATGATATTTCATACTTAAAACAAATACCTTTATATTTTTTTCATCGAATCATTTATCATTGTATTGAATAAATATTCTTTATGTCTACTTTATTCTTCTGTTTTGCTTTAATTAATATTCGAAATAAAAAAATAGATAAAAATATTGCACATATATTCAGTTTGAAAAGAATAAATTTATCCTAGAATTCCAAAAAGAAATTAGCCACAACCTCCTGTAAATTGTTTATACAGTAATGATGAAAAGATATTTGTTCTTTTTTATGTTGTGTGACATTAGATATAAATGAAATTTTCATATGATGCATGTTTATAATTATTTATTAAAAAGAAGAAAGTTATAAATATAGATCTTTAAATGTTTAAAAACGATCACTGCATCCAAACCATTTGCATTGTAACCATCTTAAGAAATCTAAATCAAGTGGAACTGTTTGTTTGATCCACATTGCTCGTCGGTCACTATCATGATCTCCAACCATCAATCCTGTATTGGGATGAAATAAAACTTCAAATTCACCATGATTTTCTGACATCCATGCAAGAGTATCCTGAAGTAATTCATTTGGTAAATAAACACCCCATTGTCCATATGGATGTGGTCCATCAACACCCATAACTGGATCCCATACACACATACGAGTACAATTATCAAAGATTCCTCCCATAAAACAGTTGCCAAGACATTTTTCAATATTAAAATATTTCATAAACTCTGTTCGAATAGCAAGTGCGCGTGCAGTTACATTAGCATTTTCATGAAAGAAATAAGAATGTATATGCCATGAATAATAATAAAGTGTATCATTTTCATTTGGTATGGCACGTAATTGTGGATGAAAATCATTATTTGATTGTCCTGGTAATGGTGGAAAAAATAGATTAGGATCGATTGCAGCTTGATCAGCAGCTTTAACAGATAATGTACGACGAGTTTTAGGCACTTCAATCGAAGGATTCATGCCAGATGATTGAGCTTTTATACGTATATATTCATTTCGTAAAGGATCATGACTATATACCAATGTAGCCAAAAATAATACTAATGTAAGACAACGCAACATCTTGTAGAATACAGAAGAATATCAGTGTGTGTCGTTGTTAAAGAAAAAACACATCATCTTATATAGTCATTCTTATCTTCTATTGCGCTAGTGTCATAGATGACATTTATTTTTTTATATTATCAATTCTTACATAATAGTATGACAAACAAAATTCGAGAATTTTATAAGAAATGACTAGGTTATTTTTATAGGTTAAATATATTTTCTGCATGAAATTATTTCGTTCTATTCTATATGAAATTTTTGACTTGGAGAAATTATTATTCCCATTCATGTAAACAATCTTACAGCGTATATTTTGAAAAAAAAACAACGCTACAGAATTTATCTATGCAGAGATATTCTATCTCGCAATTATTCTGATTCATTCGTTGTATAAAACATCAACAACTTCGTCACATTTTTTCTTTGTTATCTATTTCTATTTAGGTTAAAATGCTGTTGTATGATTACACTGCATTATAAAGATTTATTTACGTATCAGTTAACTCATGACGCAGAATAATAATCGACTTTTTCTATATGAATATAAAAGAAAAAAAGAGACGCGCGCAAAACAAGCACTTTTTTATTCTTATCTTTTTTTCTTTTTCAAAAATAATTATAGTAGCAAATTTTATAACTTAAATAATCAAAAATACAAAAACACATTTGTGTTTCATAACAATATTATTTCGATTAACATAATAATATGTTTAATCGAAGATATACGAATTTTATTTGTCATACTTGTTTTCGTTGTCGCAACGAATAAATTATGATATTGAAATTTATTTTGGAGTTATAGTTAAAGTTTAAGTGAAGAGGTCGACATCCTATTTCTTTATTTATCAAATAAAGCCTTATATTTGATAAAGATAAAACACCAGAAGAAAAAAAAACGTCGTATATGCATATGTGTTTTTCTGCGATGGTGATATATTAACTCTAGAACGAAATGATATCCAGAAAAATTGAAATAAAATATTTTCTCAAAGATTCTAAATTTGATCTTTTGTTTAATAAATAAATCGATAACATATTTAGAAGATCTTTCACATGAAATTTTAAAATTTAACGTGTATATGAAGTATTCAATCTTTCATTCATATCGAAATTAATTTTTTCAATTTATTACAATAATATTATTACTCATTACCAAGTATTTCATTTACCTATACTGAACTATTACAAAATATTATTAAATAGGATCGGATGAATATGAATTTATTGCTGAAGTATTGATATAAATATTTTTTTATAGTTCAACTGTCATCAATAAAATCATTGATTATATTACTAATATTCAACAATGTATTTCTTCATTCTCAATTGAAAAAAAATTAGTAACTTGATGTCATACATATACTCAAATTTATTATTGTGTTTCTCGTAGAGAAGAGTGCAGTAGGATTAAATTGTTTGTTTGCTTGTGTGCCCGTATTTTACTGATTAATCGCAGAATAAGGTAAAAACAAAAGGTAATTGAGGGTGAAAAATCTGAATTATTTAATAGCCCTAGTTCTCTTACGAGAAAGGGGCTAAGTGAGTCCACAGACACATGTTACTTGCCAATAAAACTGAATAAAATAGTTCGAATATTTCGGACATTACATAGAACAGAAAAAATAAATCTTCTGATTCAAAAAGAGTTTATATCACGTATTGATTTAGATGTCGCTGACTAGCAAAGGATATCTTTTACTACTCTCTGTCAATCTTCAGTAACAACAAAGAGCCAGCGTCACACATTTTGCTCTGTTGCTATATTAAGTAGTCATTCTGTGACATGTTATAGTTTATGGAATTTTTAAAATAAATTGTATTAATACAATCACATTCATGTACTGTATTCCATGGCATGAGTCCTTATATTACTGTATTTCTTCTTCTTGATTATTTTTTTTTATTCTTTTTTGTATGTGTCAACACTTCACTACACTTTTAAACATAAGAAAAAGAATTTAAAACGGTAAAAATAAAATTATTGTATTCAGTTCTTCATTATGCATTGATAACAGTAAAAAGTATATGACTCGTGTTATTATAGTGGTTTTTTTTCTCTTTCTCTTGTTGATATTAGATAAAGAGGAAAAAAATACTTCTTCAATTCAAATTACTAAAAGAAAACTATACAACAATTAAATTCCGCGAAAAAATATCGTTGCAAAACAGGAGACATTGTGCGTACTATAAACCTTGCATTTTTGTATTCGTTTATTATTGAAATTTATTTTACAATTTAGTTATATTATTATTAAATTGATATGACTTCATCTTCAACATGGATTAATCAAATATCTGAACTAAAAGAGAACAATGAGCTTAAATCACGAACTTGTAAAACTTACGTAAAGCACCCAGAAAAAGAAATATGTCAATGTGGTCGTTTAAAACGAAGTCATAGTTATACTACACTTAGCCACTTAGATTTAAATGAAAGAACTGATATCGATGTAAAATGGAACGAAGGTACAGATTCAAACTCAGTACCTATTAATGTCTATGGTATTAGATCATCGAATGGCCCAAAATTTGTTCGTTGTGATAATCGTACCAAACCATCATCATTATATAATTTAATACTCAATGATTGCAACAAACAAGGGCCATCTTTATTAATTAGCGCTTATGGGGTGCGAAATATTTTACATTAAGTGAACGATTAGAAAAAGATTTTGTTACAGGTATAATCGATTTAGCAACTAGAGCAGGTATGTACGATTTTACATTGTAGACAAATGTGTTATTAATGCATAGATAACTGACACGAAATAGTTGAAAATATCTAAATCTCTTTAAGACAATCGAAATATTCTTATAAAAATTGTTCACTTAATAGATGCATGGATTCTAACTGCTGGTGTAAATAATGGAGTAGCAAATTTAGTTGGTGAAGGTATTTCACAATATCGTATTTTAAAACAATATTCAAAACCTATCACATGTATTGCCCTTACACAATGGGGTAGTATAGCTGAACAGACACGAATGGAATTGAAACAAGAAACACAGGTAAGCTGTGTTTGTTTATTGCATATCGTATTAGAGATTTTTTTTCATTGTATCATTTGTAGGGTTATCCTAAAGAACTCAAATGTATTCAGCAAACAGATCCTAATACAGAAGAAGACAAAGAAATATTGGAACCAAATCATACACATTGTTTGATATTAGATAATGGTGAATTAAATGGTTATCTAAGTGATGGACCACGAGCAGCATTTGTTAAAGCAGCAACAAAAAATGGAACTTGTAAGTACTGTTATAATTTCTTAAAGATTATCATTAACGAATAATAATCAAGTATTTAATGACATTAATCTCTCATATTTAGGCTATGGAGTAACAATTATTGTTGAAGGAGGTTTAAATACCTTGGAAGTAGTAAAAGCTGATGTACTCGCCAAACGACCTGTTGTCCTAATACAAGTCAGTATTGATTATATTTGTTTAGATCTAATTAAATATTTATATAATATTTGTTTTTAGAAAAGTGGTCGAATGTCTGATGTATTAGCCAATTTAATACAATTAACAACAAGCACTGATCGAACTAAATATAGGTACGATCTTACTGATAGCCGGCAAGTTTCTTTTGAAATAAATATAAATTATATTATTTTTAAGAGAACCAACAAAACCTGAAATAGAAAAGAATCTTCATGAATATTTTCCTAATCTAAAAGAAGATAAAGACAATGAATCTACTCGTATTACACAAATTATTGATGTTATGCAAATTGCTCATCGTAATTTATTGCATGTATATCAACTTGATGCAGAGCAAAATATTTCCGAAATCATATTTCAAGCTATTTTCTCAGGTTAGCTATAAACAAATTGTGATGATTGTATAATTAATATATTTATTGTATAGCTTATAAAGACAATCCTGATGAGAAAAAACGTGCCCGTTTATTAGATTTGTCTATAAGATGGAATTTTTTAGATGGTGCAAAACAATTACTTGAAATAAATAATACAAAAAGGGAAAAAGATGGACGAACAAAAGTATACAGAATAAAATTTTTTTAGACATTTGTACTAAATATTTTATGTTTTATTTTTAAGGATAAAACTCTTCTAGGTGCTTTATTGCGACAAGCTTTAGAACAAAATCGTCCACAATTTGTCGATTATTTTCTTCGTTGTGGCTATGATCCAAGAGATTTAAGAAGTGTAACACGTCCAAATCTGATAAACGCTTTTATGCCGAAGAACTTAAATAAAACAATATTATGTCAAAACTTTGTGATTAATTTATACAATCATGTCAGAGAAAATGCATTTGAGGTAAAAATAGAAGTTATCTTCTGAAGTCAATGAATCTCGATATGATAAGCGGTTCGTTTCTTTTTGTTTTAGTATCACAATAAAGAGTCAGTGAATTTATTTGATAGTGAAAATAATGGATCTTTATTGAATATTCTAATATTGAATCAAAAACTTCAACAATGGCTTGGATCATATATTGATATAGTTTATAAGCCTTTGTCAATATCTTCAGTGCCAAAACCATCAAATAAATTATTTGATAATCAAGTACATCATGATGAATCAAAGAATGATATACCTTTAAGAGATATTGTTGTTAATTCTAATGATAACATAGGAATAAGACTAAATGATAATTATTCACAACAAGAAATGTTAAGAGATTTATTTCTTTGGTCTGTATTTATGGATCTTAGTACAATGACTAAAACAATTCTAGTTCATATGAAAGAACGAATTTGTGCTTCATTAATTGCAGCAAAAATTTTCAAGACTTATGCTCGACAAACACCAATAATTGATGTAAGAGATAGACTAAATAAACAAGTAGCTGACTTTGAAATATATTCAGCAAAATGTGTTAATGTATGTTATGAAATAAATGAAACATTGACATGTGAATTATTAATGCGAGAAATACCATTGTTTGGAAATGTAACATGTATGCAAGTATGTATTAGAAAATGAATTTTAGAATAATCGATATTTTTGCTTTAGATTGCAATTTCAGGAGAAAATGCAAAATTTCTTGAAACAGCATGTTTTGATCATGTACTCAATCAAATTTGGTACAATAAATTAGCTTTATCAAACATAGCTCTTTCATCGAAATTTCGACTATTCGGTAGTATGATAACACTTGGATTTTGTGCACCGAAATTATTAAATTATCGATTAAAAGACGAACTTTACTTAAATGTAAGTATTGATTTCAATAGAAATTCCGTAAACAGAACAGATTAGATGTTTAATAGTTCACTTGAAATAAATAAATAAAATTTATGATGAAAACATTCAATATACTCTTTTGTAAAAGATCATCTTTTATCATTGTGAATATTTTGATAGCCTACGGACATGTATTTTATTAAGATTGATAAAAAATTTCACGTTTAGTTTAGCACAATATATTTGATTTAACTCTACGCCAGCGAAAGATGAATATTCGATATTTTTTTGTGTTAAATATAAAATACTAGCGAGATCCTGTGCATACTACATGGCTATTTTTCCTTTAACACTAGACTCCTGTCCTTCAACCTTTGACTCGGTAATATACATACATAGTGAGATCTCTTACATATTGCATGTCTGCTTTTTCCTTTGAAGTTTGGCATCTGCCGTTTAACCTTGTCCCTTCATCGCCGTACCTCCCTCCCAGAAGCGTAGCCAGGAATGTTGCATAGGGGCTACATATCAACAGGAAGATAGTTTTTTGTCTTGTGACAAGGTTCTTTACCAGAATCCCGCGTCAAATATTTTCTAGCCGAGAGAAGTACACCCTCCCCATAGTCTTACTTCCCTAATAGCCTTACCATCTTTACCCGTTGATCATTGTTCTGGTACGCTATAGAGTAAAATTTGATCGTAGTTTTCTTCAACTGTCTCAATTATTTATTTAATAGGAAACACGTGAACAACAAAATAAACCAACAAGGTATGTAAAAATATTTCGAATAAACAAATTTAATAATTTTAATTTTATTAAGAATGTCATCGAATGGTATTAACTATTATATGGAAGAAGATCAACCTACTTACTGGAAAAAATTTCGTAGTTTTCATGAAACTCCATTAGTTAAAATGTGTTATCATTTCGTAAGTCATCAGTTTAATAAAAATATGAAAAATCTATCAAAATATTTTTCTTTTTCAACTCAGATATCCTATATTTGGTTTCTATTAGTGTTCAGTTATATGATGCTCTATCATTTTGATTCTCCTTCTGATACAAATGGGACACTTCATTGGACTGAAATTCTACTTATCATAACAGTTAGAACAATGCTTTTAGAGGAAATACGTCAAGTATATTTTATACTAAAAATCTCCATTATATTCATTTATACTTTTAGATTGTTTACGACTTGCATAAGAAAATGTTAGAAAAATGGAATACTACAACTCGTCTAATTCTTACTAAATTAGCAAATCCTTTCTATGCTCTACCATATTTACTTTTCTATTTGGGTATCTTTTTACACTATGCATTTGGTAATACACCAGCTGTTTTAAGTGCAGCACGGATTATATTAGCATTCGATTTGGAATTATGGTATCTTCGTTCATTAAAATTTGTTATTGCTTTAAAATTTCTTGGACCAAAACTATTTATGCTTCGAAATATGGTAAAAAAGACATAATTAAAGAAATTATAAATCATTTATTTTTCTTTTTTTTAGTTACGTGATTTAGCTGCATTTGTCTATTTGATATTTATTGCTATTGCTGCTTATGGTGTTGTTTCACGTGCATTGATCATGTACAATCAAGTACCATTTACTGTGCATGGTATATTTGAAAATATATTCTATTCGCCATACTGGTTCATTCATGGAGAAGTTAACGATACAGCAACACTTGATGGTATGAAAATTTTCTTTTTATATTTAATAAACTATATTTAATTTATAGATATAATACATGATGAAAATTCTACATTCATTGCCGAAGCAACAGCAACACATGTTCTATTAGCATTTCATATGTTATTTATTAATATTTTACTTTTGAATTTACTCATCGCTGTTTTCACGTAAATTGATTTTTTTTGCTATTTTTCGATATTGTAATATTCTTTTAGACGTACTATTGATGAGGTTCAGACAAATACCGAATTCTATTGGCGTTTCCAACGTTATTCATTTGTACGTGAATATTACGAACGACCATGGTTAGCTTATCCACCATTGATTATTATACCGCATATTTGGATTGTTATACGTGCTCTATGGAAGACACATTGTTGTTGTATAAATGGAGACGACAATACTAAGCATAGTTCTGTTACAGCACCAATTTTTAGTAAGCTCAATTAAATTAAACTGAAATAAACATGTAAATATTTTCTACGTTTAGAAATGATTCCATTAAATCGTGACGTGTTGAATGAACAATGGGATAAATTTGAAAATGCAGCAACATATAGTTATGCTAGATCAGTTACTAGTTCCGAAAAAAAGAAAGATTTACATTATCAAACAAAATCATCCGAACCGTTCGTAGATGAAATCATTAGCTTGATAGATTATACTTCAATTTTCTTTAGGACAACCACCGTACAAACACATGAAGATATGCAAAAACAATTAAATGAAGTATATACTAATATTTTTCTTAATTTTACTTATTTATTTTCTGTTAAGATTACGAACTCATTGAAACGATTAACAGATGCATTAACTCGATCAGATGTAAATAGAGAAAATTTATTATAATATGATGAACAATGTGAGTGTGGGTGAATCAAGAATGACTCCACATCCACACCCATATTTTTGGCTTGAATTGTATGCCTAAAGAAATGTATTTTTTAAAGAGTTAGTCATTCATAATCAGTTTATTGATAGAAAAAATAATACTAGTGTAAAAGAATAACAATAATTTATTAGCGAAAAATCTAGTGAAATGATTTGTTTTTAATCAGCATTCAAACTCTTTTCCGGTTCCACCCAATCATAATGAGCTGCCATTTTTAAAAGGAAATTTTGACTTGGATGAAGTCCAGTGAAATCATGAGGAAAGCCAACTTTAAATTCGTATGCATCTTCAATTTCTTTAATTTCTTCTTTATTTAAGCGTAATTTTAAAGCATCTATATTATCTTGCAAATGTTCGATCTTTCGAATGCCAACAATAGGAAAGATGTATGGTTGTTTCGCCATTACATAAGCCAATGCAATTTGTGTTATCGAAACATTCTTAGCTTTGCTAATTTTATCGAGTACAGCAGTAACAGCTTTATCCTCTTCAGATGGACCTAGATTAATATATTAAATAAAATGAAAATTATTAATAATATCTTCGGTATAAAATTTAAATAGAACTACACAAGTTTGATATTTATATTTACCTTTTCTAAATCCACCAAAGGATCTTCCTTTATCACCTGCCTTTTCCATTGCTTCTAATTGTTCTTGTGTTTTAAATTTTCCTCCTCCAAGTGCTTGCCAAGGTGCAAAAGCCATACCTTCATCTCGAAGCATTGGAAGAATATCTCTTTCTGCATCTCGTTTAGCAGCATTGTATAGACCTTGATAGACTGAAAATTGACGAAGTCCATGATCTCTTGCATATTGATTTGCTTTTGTAACAACCCATGCAGGTGTATCACTCACTCCTAAATAGAGTACTTTGCCTGCTTTGACCAAATGATCGAGTGATTGCATTAATTCAGGAATGCTACAAGTATAATCCCACCTGAAAAGAAGAAAACAATGAATTGATTGTATATTTATCTATTTAATTTTCTAAGTTCTTACCAATGTACGTAAAGAAGATCAATATAGTCCGTCTGAAGTTTTTTTAATGAAGCATTTACACTTTCATGTAAAGATTTTGCTGAATTTCCAGCGAAATTTACATGAATTGGTTCTTTTTCCCAGTCTGATCTGTATCCACTTGTAAATTTAGTTGCAATAACCATTTGACTACGATTTTGTCGTTTAGCCATCCATTCTCCTAACCAGATTTCACTTTGTTCCTTTTGATAACCGTTAGCCGTATCAATAAAATTTCCACCAGCATCGAAAAATGCATCGAGAATTTTAAATGAATTCTCTTTTGATTGTATACCCATATGTTCCCATGCATCACCAAGAGACATTGCACCTAGACATAATGGTGACACGCGAACAGCAGCAGTTGGTGATAAAAGACGGTATTTACCAAGAGCACTTGGAGGTGATGGTGCTTCTTGCATATTTTAATTATTTTAAATCTAGAATTGTAGAAAATGATTAAAGTTTTGATATTTTTCAATCATCTTTTCATATTAAAAGTCCATACCTTAAATAAAGCTAGTAAAATTAATATAAATTTATTCTATATGCACTCTTTTTTACATACGAGATGGTTATAAATATATCAGAGAGAATAAGAAAGCATGTGCGTTTATATACATAGATCTGGTCGACGATAAGAATAAGAAAGAAAAGGACAAGGACATTTTTTTTCGGTATATACAATAAATCGTACTTTCTGTTCGTTCTTAACGTCTATTTTTATCCTCGTGTACTTTTATAATGAAGAAAAGGTATGGGTAAAGTAATAGGCAAGAATATGTGACTGAAAAAGAAATATAAAACCTCGAAATAGTATTCGATCTCATCCGATGTATATATTTTACTAGGAGAAACAATTATTAAATTTCATTCTTGATGTTTGGACAAACAGAATAAATAATTACTATTAAGACTACAAGTATCGAAGAAAATAATTCTAATCTACTGAATTGATCTTTTGCAAAACATAATGGATATCCAACATAATTTTTATATAGCAGGTTTATAAAATAAATGCAAACAAAAGTTTTAATACTATTACATAAAGAGACATAACTTATTTTATACTGCAATATTTCTTGTATTTTCTCTTTTATCTTATATCAGTAATATACAAAGTCTGACCTGTTTAAACAGTATATCTAATATGATTTTTACGATCTCTCAAATATTATTATTTCTATCTAACCTAAAAATGTACGAAGAATATTATAGTTTTATTTATTTATCATAAACTTACTTCTATATTAGTAGATTTTTCTATAAAAAAAGTTATTCAAAAATAATTGTGGGTATTCATTTCATCTTTTACTTACACCTCCACACCCACCCACCCACACCCACACCCTTTTTCAAATCTTCAAACACATTCTAAGGTGAATAATAGATGAGAATATATAATCATATCCTTAAAGTTCATTAGATAACGTCATGATAACGAATTGACTATGACGAGTTCAAATATTGTTCAACAATAAATGATATAGGGAAGGGAAAAACAAAACTTGACGGTCATTATGTTGCGATATCATGTATATATTCACGTGAACTCGAGGTTATCCATGTAACAAAACAATGAGGTTAGTGTCATTTTGTGTTTGGAACTTACTTCTTTTGATTGTGATTGGTACAACTGTTGAGAACGAAGACAAAAAATCAAACTTAGAGTCAACACAAGGTAAAAGAAAATAATTCTTTAGTAAATAATTCTTTTTATTTATTTTTCAGGGGGTTTTGAAACAACTTCTGCATTTTCTTCTCTTGTCAATGGCAATTCTAAATGGTCAAATCATAGTATCACCGTTGCTGGTAGTCGAGACTCTGGAGACAAATTAAATCAACTTCTGCATCCAATCGGATTGTATGTTGATGATGATGACACTCTGTATATTGCTGACACTGGCAATAATCGTGTCATGGAGTGGAAGTCAGGTGCAACCGTTGGACGAATAGTCGCCGGTGGAAATGGTTTTGGTTCGAAGACGAACCAATTATTTGATCCTACGGATGTTATCGTTGATCATGAGAGCGATAGTGTCATTATTTGTGACCGAAGAAATACGCGAATTGTTCAATGGCGTCTACGAGGTGGGACAACTGGACAAATAATTATTTCAAACATATCTTGCTTTGGATTAGCAAAGGATAATGCTGGTTTTCTTTATGTTACTGATACAATGAATGATACTGTCAGACGATGGAAGATGGGAGACTACACTCGAGAGGGAATAGTAGTGGCAGGTGGAGATGAAATAGGTGGTAATCTCAATCAATTGGACGGTCCTAAATTTTTATTTGTTGACTCAGATCAAACAGTATATGTAACTGACTGGAGTGACAACCATCGAGTAACGAAGTGGACCAAAGGCTCAAAACAGAGTCTTATTGTTGTTGGTGGGGACAATTATATTGAAGGTAACATACAACTATCGGATCCTCGAGGTATTGTTGTCGATCGATATGGTACAGTCTATGTAGTAGAAAACATGTACAGCCTAGTAACGGAATGGCCGAAAGGAGCCACTGATGGAAAAATTATTTTAGATCGACCAGCTTATCTGGAAGAAAATTGGTTTAACGGTCCAGAAGATTTATCGTTCGATCGAAACGGTAATCTCTATGTTGTCGATTCGCATAATAGTCGAGTGCGAAAATTTCTCTTAAAATAGAATTTATCATTGTATTGTTACATATATCTGTAGTTTCTTGTCACTTTTCTCTTGTATCTTGTAATTATTCTGTCACTTACTTTGTATATGTTGTGATTCTTTGAAAAATAAAGTTGATGTTTGTTCTCAATGAGTTGGATAACTATTTGAAAAATATGATAATAAAGTTAAGATGGGTGTGGGTGTGG